AGGAATCATAAACAAATAAATTGAAACGTGGATTTGTTTTTTGTCGCATTTATTACTGAAACTTCGTTATTAAACTTTACATAAACGTTAGCAGGGTGACAGATTAGGACAGGACTCCTACTCCTCATCAATGAAATAGTGCTAATCGTGTCGGTAAGAAGACATGGAGATGATTGCTACTTTTAAATCATATTCACTTGATGAAATGATTAGTTTCATTCACAGCAATTTCACGTGATTTCGTCATGGACAAAAATGTGGCATTAAAATCAATCAAAATTCTTTTTATCTTAGATTTTTACTTTTAAAATTAGAACGTTCGCGAGATTTGTGCTAGCGTAATAATAATAATTAAGTAGCAGTGGTTTTGTAAATCAGCTTCAGGTATGATGAAATGATTTTTAAATCGTATGATTTATCTTACGTGATTGAGATTTTATGCCATCCCTACTGGTAAGTGACTACCGTCATGGACACTTTCAATTCAATAGAGATAAGTTCTTAGTGTAAGCCCTCCCCCCACCCCACCAAAGTTATAGGGAAGGAGATTTCGTAAACCTCATTTACTCGCTGAAAAGACCGGTTATCTGTAAAGCCGCGGTATCATTCCGATCAAGCACGCTTTTTTGCGCTGAAGCAAGCATGGCCATCTCACGGCAAATAAAGAATGTGGGACTTAAATACACGGTGTAAGGGACATCGTAAGGAATACTGAAATAGTGTATACAGACCATCATTCTGCGTCTAAAATCATTGGCATTTATTCCGGAAAATTATTTTTTTATGCACTCAGCTGTCAAAGGATAAGGTAATTCCCCGTAGGTATCGCACAAAAGTAATAACTACACGTGTATTCCGTACAAACAATCTACGCTCACTAACCCAAGTTGGCGGTCGGAGGGGAGGCCCCGCGCAATTCGGCTTATTTACTTACATTGCAGTTTTTGACCGTATGCGGTATTAATTAATTTATTTTCGGTTAAATGTTCTGTTTAGTCATTGTGATATCATTTTTACCCAAAAATTTAAATTTTATAAAATAGATGATAATTTTTCCGGTAGAAAATTTCAATGATTTTCGACTTAGAATCATGGTATAAATACACTATTACAGTATTCGTTACGATGTCCCTTACACCCTGTATATCCCTTCGAGAATAGAGGCGTAAGTACATGATAGACACAATTCTATGGACCCACAAGCCATCAACTAACCATTTACTTTTCACGAAATAGTCCTTTTTAAGAATAGATACTAAAACGGTAGTAAGAGATGACGATAGTAAAAGAGTAGCCATAATAGAAGATCCAGGTTTTGGTTAATCTAAGGATGGTGGAGGGTGCAATGTATTTTGGTCTTCGGCTTAAGAAAAACTTACGCTTCAGTGCTACTTAATTTTTACGCTAACCATTAAGACGTCTCGAAACGAATAAAAATAATGATTATACATTATTACTCATTGATAAAATGTTTTAATTATTTGGGGAGTCTATGCTGGAGATTTGGGATTGGGATGTGACTCAAGTAGTAAGTTCAAAATTTAGTTGTTTACTTAATTATGTAACACATTGACACAGTGTTAATAGCTAAATGTGAATATTTCTAAAAACGGGATAACATCACATCTTAATAGGCCACTGCTGGACATAGACCTTAGAAAGGAGATTATTTAGAGGCCTACTAAATAAAAAACGGATAAAGCATAATACATTATTACCTAAAAAGTAGTAATTGGTGCTTTAATAAAAAGTTTTGAGAGCAAATCTAGGATTGTGACAATCGTTACGGTTACTCAGATATAAAAGGAATTCCAGGTATATTTACGTTACTAAAATGGTTTAAATAATGACTCAAAATAAACTATTAGATTAGCGAAAAAAAAGTAAAATTGTTTTATTGCTTTCTAAAGGTCACATTTCACACTACACTACTAGTAAATACGTGTTATTGTATGTGTAATAGTCGTTCGTATAAATGTAGGCAATAAACAAACATACGTACAAACCTAAGACACAAATCTGTACACCGCATAACCGATATACTAAATCTCCACAAATCTGCCGGATGTAACAGTTGATTTAGGTGTAGTAGGAAACTAAAATAGCCGTTTATTGATTAAATATAAAGATAATTTAGACCACGTTTTAACTGTTTTATCGATGGTTATTAACTCTCGTTATAAATACATATAAATGAGATATTTTGTCATAATTTTACTTACAAAAAATTTGTGACATCTTCCATTTGCTATTATTAGTACATTCATACATTGGTGTGACGGAATCGAACCGAATAAATACATATGGTGGGCCAGACTGCGTCTAAAATAGAAAAGATCCGGGCACAGCTTTTGTTGCTAATTGAAAGGTTATGTAACTTTGCGTACATAATTTCTTAATTGGGCAGCGATTACGCACTAGTTGACGTCTTTGGACACATTCAGTAGCTATTGACAGCGTATTGGTTCAGAATAAAGATCCTTCGCCCGGGTCATGTACGTGGCGTCCACACAATTCCTTTCTATCGACCGAATATAGGTATTACCTCAAGCAGCTGTGCCCGGATCCATCCAATTAGCTAAGTGCTAGTATATGTACAGAATCAACAGTCTATAGAAATAAGATGATAAAGATTCCTTAAAGAGCTGAGTAGTGATTCTGACTACGGTAGACGATTGCTGACAAATGACTCTACCGTAATTAACGAGCAGCTCGTGTATATGAAGCTTTAGATACTCGTATAATAATAATAATCATTATAATAGCTAGCCATAAAAGATGGTTTAAGACGCCGCAGCCATAAAAATGAGGGGAAGGCGGCTGACCTCGACTGATAGTACAAATGAACTGCTTGGTTACTCATAAACATTAATGGTAGGCTCGTGGCTGAGTGGTAACCAAGTGAGTTAGCACATTGCAAAGTTAAACAGTCATATCCAGGTCAGTCTATGGATGGGTGACCATTCCAAAGGCATTCAGACCTCAGAAAGTGCCTCGGAAAGCACGTTAAGCACGTCGGTCCCGGTTGTCAATTGTGATGGATAGTTGTTAAATATTACAGTTTGTGTAGGTATTTCGTGTCAGTTGTATTATTTATCTTAAATGTAATTAATTGAAAGTCCACTCAAGGCAGTGGAATTATTGAACGATAAATATATAAACGATAAATTCGTTTGAACATCTTGTAATGTGTCTCTTCTCTTCTCTGTCATACATGTTTTGGCAATCTGTTCTGCTAAGATCATTTGGAAAATTGTTATGAAATAAAGTTATTGCCCTGGAAGGTAGTCAGTCCAGCGACATGTGCCCTGTATAATAAAAAAAAATATTTGTCGATATTCTGCATTTTGTTGTACAATTACTAGTTTCCTATATGTATCTGTTAAAAGTCGATACCAATCTATAGTCAAACTAAACTGCGCGTTGGTTGGCTACCGTGGGTGAGCCATACTTTGGCACGACTGAGCCGACTCGACCGGAGTGATACCACGGCCTCACAAAAAACCGGTGTTAAGCAATTCTTTCGTTGCCTTTCACTGAGTGAGTGAGGTTACGGCATCACAAATCCCACCTCCCACTAACTCGAGCGGGAGGGACTCCAAAGCCGGTAACGCACTTGTGACTTTTAAGTTGCAGATGTCCAAGGGCGGCGGTAGTTGCTTACCATCAGATGACCCGTAAAAAATAGGTTTTGTTAATAAATTCTAGTATTCACCGGGACAGCACCGCTTTTTTTATTAAAAGATTTACTTTATCTTTTTCTGTACGTCTGAGAAATTTCATGGCAATGTGTCTGTGAAATATCAAGATCCAAAAAAACAATAGCATTTAACTAACAGACTAAAAAAAAGATAAAAAAAAGACTACTACTACTTAATCCGCCACCCCTATTCATCGCGTGAGCACTGCAGGGAGAAGGAAAACTTGACACAAACCATGTACCAACCCGTCTGGCCAGCGTGGTATAGTAGACCAAAATCTCCTTTCTAAGGACAGGCCTATGTCCAACAGTGAACTAACAAAGGCTGTTGATATGAACAGACTAATCGATAGGAGTGAAGACTATAGTATTTAGATCTTCTTTAAAAAAAAACATCTTGTTGTTTAGACTTGTGAGATATTGGACTTTAGGATATTATTGGATTACGGCGCTCACCGAACAACAAGAACATAAACAAATAAATAAATACATTATTAGTATTAACAACCGTGTCATAAACAGAAGAACAATGTATAAGAAGGCCACCACAAAGACGTTATAATACAGTTAAACCTAAGAAACAGAACCTACAGTAGTTTATTCATAATAAATTAACTTTCAGTTGAGATCACAACTCATTATTTTAATTACTTATGTATTTAACGTTTTTTCGGTAGCTATCTCTTTTTAAATTCTTCACTAAATGTTAGCTTTCACAAAACACATTTTTGTCATCGTTTTTTCGGACCACATTATCTTTGTTTAACATAATATTTAATCCAATTATGGTATGTTAACGACATCTTAAAATTGTTAAGGTGCTTGACTGTTATTCTATTTATGTAAATTAGTTTTTTAGGGAACTAATTAGCTACTAAACAAATGATTACATTTACAAGAGTATCAGAAAGCTATTGAAAAGTTTTCAAATAAAGAAGATGCATATAAAATTATAAACACTACAGTTCTGTGGTAAAGGCTAGGATATATGTAAATATGTAAAGGCTAGGATATATGTAAATATGTATGTATTGTGGTTTCGATCCCTGCACAGGACAACACTTTGTGTGATCCACAAATTGTTTTTCTGAGTCTGGGCGTTCTTTGTGTCCGTTTCATGTGTAAAGTCGCCAGGATATATTCCTAGTGCGAGAGTTGTATTTAAACAAAAAAACAAAACCAATTAGAAAAACTTTACAGTATGAGAAATATTCCTATTATAAATATTTAAAAAAACTAAAAAAACAGTTGAGGAAGAAAATACAAGAACAAATGATGAAGTAACTGAATAAATACATACCACTCATGAAGTTGTAAATAAGAGGGTTGACGGCGGAGTTGGCGTAGCACAGCACGTGGCTGATGAGAGCGATACAAGTCATCACATCGCTTTGTTGCACGTCGTAAGCGACCCTAAACAAAACAAAAATGTTGAATCAACAATTTAGGTAGCTGTTAATAATTTAAAAATAAATTTAAACTATTATTCCAAGACTAAAGAGTTTGTTTGTTTGAACGCGCTAATCTTAGCAATAAGTTGTACATTACATGTCTGATATTTTTATGTACCATAATACTTGTAAAATGTGTGCAAATAAAGAGTTATCTATCTATCTTATCTAACTGCTGGTTCGATTTGATTAATCCTTTTAGTGTTAGACAGCACATTCATCGAGGAAAGCTATATAAGGTGACGTCACCACCAATAGGAGTCAAGTATCAATGAAAAATGTTACAAAAACGTGGAAAATTTATTCCTTTTAAGAGACAGAAAGTTGCGTGGGTTAGTAAAGTGTATAGAGGCCCTGGAATGAGTTCATTTTACATCTAGTCGCTCCACACGGTGAGCGCGTTCGGTGTAGCGATTGGGTGGCGGTAAACTCTTCACCAATCACACAAGTGAAATAAACTCACACTTGCCCTTCTGTTTTCATAAAATCAAGTTACAAAACTTTGAAATGAGTCCTTAATATTTCCAAATTTATATCGGCAATCCTACCCATATGTATTTTTAAAATTTTGTGTATTGGTTTTAGCGGTAACCTCGCCGCTTCCTACTACGATGTTTGTTGTGGGTTCGATCACCACATGGAACGACACTTTGTGTGATCCACAAATTGTTGTTCTAAGTCTGAGTGTTCTTTGTGTCCCTTTCAGGTATGTTTGCAAAGTTGAGTCCGCCGCGATACAGAATATATTCCTAGTGCGGGAGTTTTTTTTTTAAAGAAAATTAAAATATGTCGAAGCACGGCTTTCCCACGAATAGATATACATATGTATATAATAAATACATACATTTTATATACATAAAATGTAGAATTTATTCTAATATTCCTCTGAAGTGCTTAATGTCAGATTAGTGTGAGAGGCTTAAGGCAGCGAAGTACTTTTTAAAACGTGAATTTGGGACGTTTTATTAAGGAATTGAGCCCACTTTGATTTTACTCGCACTACATAAAGATCAATATCCTAAGGGGATACATAGAAAATTGTAAAATGTTTCATTCCTGTGCAATGCCTTTCTTATAAGCAAAGTTCACAACTACAGAATATTCACATATGCTAGTGGACATGGAAAGACTTAAACCAAAAACATTAAAAACTTGGTATAATACTCTAAAGAGAAACACAATAAACTTCTTATATAATAGAATAAATAACTAATAATTAACAAACATTCATCCCTTATCTAATCGCGAAGCTAAAATTAAATTAAAGAATTGGTTGCTTGGTATAGACTATGACCAACCTGAAAAATTATTATCATAAAGACTAAAAACTGACCATATACACCTCTCATATCACTCCATATACATACTTACATATACATCCATACACTTAAATACCATACACACCACAAACGCACTGCACACTCCACACTACGCACTTTCATCACATTTACTCATCTCACTGCACTTATTTTGCATAAGATTTCTGTGTTCCTCATAATGGGAGAAGACACTGACTTCTGTAACACAGGCCAAGAGCCTAGCTCAGCAGTCAGGGACTTCACATACCTATATTGTGTATTTTGTATGTGAATATATTAAATAAAAAAATAAAAAGATGGTTTGTTTTTGGTGTTTTATTTTGTTGTTATAGGTATGTCCAAATATTTCTTTATTTTTTTCCTTAAAAAGACAACTTCCGCTCTAGGAATATTTATATGAACCACTATGTCATCCATGCAGTCTAATTAAATATAATCAAATCAAGCTGAAAAAATTATAACGTTATTTATGCTACAAAATATTTTTTCGGTCAAAATCAACTGCCAAAACTCACTTAAGGGTACCGTCCCTTAATATATTCCAAGAGGCTCTTAAGCACCTTTATCACTTTTTAAATATCTTTAATTTTATCCAGAAAATCCATTCTCTTCAAACAAAATGATTCAATAAACCTAAAGTTTCTAGTTTAAAATACTGAAGCAACAAGTATTTTGTACTAAACCTTACATTCAATGAAAATTCAAATTATTAGGATCTTAAATACATAACAGTAAAGTTTATTTTAAATGCTGCAGTGAAAAGTAAACAGTTTACCGTGGGAGAGTCATACTTCGACGTATTCTACGCCTTCTCGACCGGAGTTATACTACGGCCTTACAGAAAACCGGTGTTAGCAAATGGTTTAGTTGCTTTTCACCAAGCAAGTGGGGTTACCGGAGCCCAAACCCTTCCTTTCCCCTGATTCTGGAGGGGCAGAGACCCCAAAGGATGGCAATGCACTTGTAATTCTTGAATTGCAGATGTCCATGAGCGAAAGTAGTCACTTACCATCAAGTGACCCGACTGCTTGTTTGCCCCGTATGCCATGAACAAAATACACGCATAATCTATTTGAGATGGTGAATAAAATGGGATGATTTATCTTGTGCCTCAGTAGATTATCATCTCTCCATGGCTAACGGTGAAAAAATATGTCGGAATCTAATCAACTAAAACCACATGGTGTTCTGTCACAAGAGAGTTTATTGCAAGGAGAGGCCCTAGAAAGTATTCGGGTGTATAGATAGAAAGTTTCCGAAAAACCTAGTAGAACTTTGTTGCCTTTTAAATCACATTACATCATCAACAGCCTTTATTAGTCCACTGCCGGACGTAGCCTTATCCTTAGAAAGGAGCTTTTGCAGTACTATACCACCCTCACCTGACGGATTGGTATAGCGGTGGTGACATTCCGTATCCTTAATCTGTCACTACACAGATAAGCCTTTTAAATAGTAGGCAGCTACACTATTGCGGACAGAAGGCCTTGCATTTCGACAGAGAGCTCTGGCCCGGTCTTGTTAGAATTCCAGGTCTAGATTAATGGTTAGTGAAACCCGTTAATGAGCTGCGTCTACGTTGAGCACTTCACTAGTATGAGGAGATAGGAGATAACCATCTCTATAGTTTCAAGAAAAAAAAGTTCTTTTGCTAAACATTACAGCTGTAAAGTGCCCGTAAACGTAAATGAGTTGGAAACAAAATACACGTGGACCTAAGTATACCTATGTGTGATCCTGCAGAGGTTTATGGGAAACCTGACAAAAAGACTTGTCCGTGTAGTGACGGATTAAGAATACGGAATGTCACTACCCCAATTCATCCCGTGGGTGTCGTAAGAGCCGACTAAGGGCGCAAAACAACGCAGGACACCAGCACTGCAAAAAGACGGAAAACTTGACACAAACCCTATACCAACCCGTCTGGCCAGCGTGGTATAGTAGGACAAAACCTTCTTTCTATGAAGAGGCCTATGTCCAGCAGTGGACTATTAAAGGCTGTTGATGTGATGATGATGTGACAAAAATCAAATTATTCTCACTCCTGAAAAAGAAACAGTATCATGAAAGGCAAAGAAAGGAAAGATACTGACCTTAACACAGATAGCAAATGTACCGGGAAGTAGCATACGGCAAACATGGCGACCACAGCTACCAGCATCTTAGCTGCCTTCCTCCTAGAACGTAGCTGCCCTTCCGTGGACGCGTTGGTGTGTATGGAAGGCGTTGTTCGACGGTTCGCAGCCAGCCCTAAGAACAGCGACTTTCTTTGACTGTCTGTCAAAAATATTTTTAATAGAGTAGAACTAGAACAAAGGCTGCAATATGTGTTAGCACGTACATATATTATGCATTGTAATTCTTTAGTTGAGAGTTTTAAAGTAGTGTGAAATTTTGGGATCTCCCTTAATTTTAAATAAAAATTTGTTATTATTAACCAACTTCAAAAAAGGAGGTTATTAATTTGCATGTTTATATTTTTTATATATGTTTGGGCATAACTCCGTCATATATAGAAGGTTCTACAAAAATATTTGTTCGTTCGAAATGATGTATTCCGAATGGATCCCATTTTATTTTCATACAGAACTGATGATGAGTTTCGGAGACAGACAACGGATTTCTGCTATGTTTTAGTGCTATTTGTTAGTAATATTTGAAGTCGGTTCAAGTTTAAAAAAAATTAAATAGTATTATGTTCCTTATAGCTATATGAGACATAACTATAAAAAAAAACAAATATTTAGGATTTGATCCCTTTTTAACCACCATAATATTTAGTGGATCAATCTATAGGTAATTTTCCCTATTTTCATATTCATATATTCCATTTCAAGTTGTATCAAAATAAAACTTAAGTTCATACTGGCGAGAATGAAATTACACTGTTTGTACCACCCGATTAAATAACATATTTTGTATTCAAGAGTAGAGTAAGCAGACTTGGGGAATGAAGTTATAATCATCATCATCAACAGCCCTTAATAGTCGACTGCTGGACAAGGGCCTCTCCTTAGAAAGGAGGTTTTGGCCTATTATACCACGCTAGCCAGATGAGTTGCTATAGAGTTTGTGCCAAGTTTTCCTTCTCTTTTCTGTGTGACAGTCGGGAAATGGAGTTATAAACAATATAGCTTAAATTATTCAGACACAAAAGAAGCAAAAGTTGAATAAAAATCTGGAACTTAAATACGGACAATAGAGTTTTAATTAACTCGATATAAGAAATTACGCAGGTGGCTCAAAGTAAGAATTTCTTAATATTTTTATGCTCACAAATTCGTCAAATAAGATCAATTCCTTTGACTTTGTTGAGTAACTCTAAGCAAAAACCTAAGCTGAATCCTTTTAAAGGTCCTAATTAAATATTATTATTTGTTTGTCAATGGAACCCTTACACTGTAAATAAAATAATCTTATTTTTTCTTCTATTTAAAAAGATAGGTCCCACACTAGGAATATATCCTGTGTAGGACTTTACAGATATTAATGAAACTGTCACAAATAATATCCAGACTCAGACCAATAATTTATGGATAATAAATAATAATAATATTAATATTCTACCACATTCACACAACGCCATCTAGTCTCAAACTAAGCAGAGCTTGTACTATGGGTACTAGACAACTGATAAAAATACATATATACTTTTTTTTTGTAAATACAAACATGTTTTACATAGAAACACCCAGACCAAATCAAACATTAAATGTTCATGCACACAAATGCTTGACTTGAGCGGGAATCGAACCAGCAACCTTTGGAATAGCAGTCCGTTACACAAACCGCTACGCCATTCGGTCGTCAAACACAAAGTGTTTGTTTTATTTGGGGATCGAACCCACAGCACTAGATAAAAAGCGGTGAAGTGACCGCTTAAACCAGTACGCAATCCGTGCAGTTAATGATAAATTCTGTTCCGTCAAGTAAAGACAATTCGTATATAAAACACAGCTTACAATTGTTATGGCCCTGTTGTGATGAGCACAGTGTATGCGACTCCGTATGTCCGGGTATGTTATCTGATCTCCACAGTACCCTCACAATCTGGCAATACGCTATCATCATAAGCAGTAAAGGAAACCTGGAAAGAAATTACTAAATTAATTCAAATTCAAATTCAAATTCAAATTCATTTATTACCAAAAAGAAAAGTACAAAAAATGTGATACATTGCCGGTGGCCCCACACTAGGCAAGCCTGTCCTGTGGGTGCCAGTTGCGATTACACATTTCGCTATACATTGTTGTTCGGTAGACATTACATCGTCGTTTTCAATTTAATGTATACAGTGTTACTTGCTTATATTTGAGACAGCAATCTATTTCCTCCGAATATGCCGAGTATGCCGCTAATCAATAGTCACATAGAAAATTTTAAAGTAGGTCAGGTATTTGGTTAGAAAAGTACGCTTAGGACACTTTATTAAGGGAAATATGAAGTACTGATAACTAGCTTTGAGACCTTCTATAATTTACCATATTTCCAGCAAATAAATAGTCTGTCTATCAATATTTTTTGTCTATCTAGCTCATAGTAATCTCACTCACATAACTATTACACTTATCTTATTTTTAGTCACGTGTGTAGACAACATTAAAAATAAAAATCGGTTGTCTGTAAAGTCGGTTTACTGACGATAGTTGAACGTGATAACGTCATAAGAAAATACTGATGGAATGGTTGCATTTTTCAAAAATGTATTATTGTATACGAGTAGCAGCTAACCACGCGGACGCATCGCTCACTCAAGTAGGAGAGAGACAGATGTCGACCGCTGCCGAACGCGGAGGCCGATTGTGCCTCTTTGTCACTCGTTCCGCGCTCTCGCTTGCACTTCACGCCTTAAATGGAACGCCTCAAAGCGAGGTAACGCCGCATGAGTCATGTTTTTGCAGCCGGCTCCATCGAATTATAAGACGTCACGTCAAAAACAACTCTAGCGCATCCTGATTCACGCACGTAACAGAATGCACGTCTCACTCATGGTCAATTGTTTTTGAGCGCAAAAGCGAGCCGTGCAAACAACATACAGTCAGTGCTATTTATTAAGATATTCATACAGAAAGATGATGGGGTGCTGGGCTAGAAAACCTCCTCGTGGTGCACCCTGGAAACGCTGGCGATGGTACTGTTCCCTCCTTGTCCTCTTGGAGGAGAGGATTATCGCCAGCGGCCAATATTCTAGCAGAAGAGGCAGCCGTTCATCGGCTCTCGGGCAAGGCCTGGTCCAGCAGGGTGGGCGTGTCTGCCGGTTGCCCTGCTGGCTCTTCGCTCTTCGGAGCATGGAGGAGGAAACCTCGGTAAAAAACCTGATGGCGGGGCCCTGTAGGGGCCACAGTTTCTCCGCTGACAGCGGTGGAGAAAGGAGGACGGGCTCGGCGTGTACTCACACTACCACCGAGCAGGCAGGGGGACGTAGTCTCCCTGTCAACCGTCGGCATATCGTAATCCCGAGAAGAGCGCTGTGGTTAAGTCTCGCGGCTCTGATCGGGGGCGAGGGTCTTGGCTTAACCGCCCGGACCGCGAGGAAGATAACCTCTCTAAAAAATTCCCCGAATCCCGTGTTCTGGTGCGTGTCCAGGGGATGCATGGCTGATGGGAAGTTCAGTCGCGAGCGCACTCCAAGCCGAGGTACCTGCGGACCCCTCGGTTGGGTTAAAAACTTACGCTTGCCCGGGTAATGGGGGATCTCTGCCCGGGTGGACCTTTAGTTCTCCCTCACTCGTGGGATTATTATGGAAAAACTTAATTTAACCAAAAACAAAACGATCGGGAAAAAAACACAACAGACAAAGGCAAGCCTAACGGACAAGGAGACGAAGAGGAGGAATAGTGGAGTGGATGGGTCATCCACGGAGGGTGAGATAGCGTCGGGAACGCCTATCTCGATGGGGCTCCCAGAAGTCAGTCTGACGCTGGTCTCTGGGAGCCGAAGAGCATCGGATCGTATTCGTTCCGGATCCGCCGTCTCCTCGGATGGCGCGGAGGCCATGGAGGCGGAGCGAAGCGACAGCCGAAAACGCGGACGCTCAGGGGACGTGGAAACCGACACGTCCGGCGAAATGATGCCACCAAAGGTGGCAAGCAGTCGCCGAGGGAGGGCGCGTAAACCGGCCTCGGTCTCGACCCCGTCAGGCTCCGCGTTCTCAAACGCGGAGTCCTACAGGAGCGTGCGAGTGGACGGCGAGGCCGTAGCGGAGGAGGAGATCGCGGATCTCCTGCTCAAGGTTCGGGAGCCGGTGGGGGGAAATTCCCCCCAGGCTCCCGTGTCCGTGCAGGAGAGGGCGAAAGCGGCGGTGGCCGTCATCGACAAGGTGGCCACCAAATCCGTGAACCTTAAGGGCTCGTTTGTGAGGGCCCTTAAGGACTCCTCCTCCGCTTTGTCGGAGGTCGTAGAGGGCCTAGCGGGCGACGTCTCTCGCCTGCAGGTGGCCAACGAGAGGCTGACGGAGCGGGTGAACGAGCTGAGTGCTCAGTTCGCCCGCTTCCAGGCGAACCTCCCCGAGCGGGAAGCCCCGTCCGCGTCCCAGCCTGCCCCTACCACCAACTCAGGGGCATTTGACTCCCAACTGCGAGAAATCCTCATCGCAGTTGGGAATATGCTGGACGGACGCCTGGCTGGCCTGGAGGCGAGACTGCCCCCTGCGCCGGTTATGCGCCCCCCGCTCGCGTCGACACAGCGGCCTAAGGCCGCCGCTCCGACCGCGCTCCCCGTAGTGGGAGGCCGCGTCTCCTACGCGGCGGCGGCGTCTGCCCCGACTCCATCGGCTCCCCAAAAGCCGAGGAGGGGGGCCAAGGCACCGGCCCAGGCGCCGGCCAAGGCACCGTCCCAGGCGCCGGCCAAGGCGCAGGCCAAAGTGCCGGCCAAGACGGGGCCTAAAACGGCGCCGAGGAGCGGAGTGGCATTCCCTCCGCTCCCCAATCCGACACCCCTGCCGGGCCCCTCCGCACCTGCCCCCTCCAACGAGGGCTGGCAGGAGGCGAGGGGCTCCAAGAAGTCCCGAAGGCGGGCCAGAAGGGCTGCCCAAAAAGCAGCCCAAGCCCAGCCTTCGCCACCGGCGGCAACGGCCTCTGCAAAGAGGCCGCGGAAGCTGCAGCCGCCCAAAACCGCGGCTGTAGTGGTGACCGTGTCCCCGGAGGCGGCTGACGGCGGGTTGTCCTACGCGGCCGTTTTTAAAAAGGCCCGGGACAGCCTCGCCAACGACTTCGGGACGGTGGGGGTCAGGATGCGCCTCGCCCAAACGGGAGCTCGAGTTCTCGAGTTCCCAGGGGCTGAAGGCGCCAAGACGGCGGACACTTTCGCTGAGAGGCTGCGGGGTTTATTCGCGGCCACAGATGGTGTCAAGATCGCCAGGCCTACCAAGTGCGCGGAGCTGCGCATCTCGGGCCTGGACGACTCTGTGACGGCCGAAGATGTCCGCGCTGTAATCCGGGAGAAGACGGGGTGCAGCGCGGACAACGTCAGGGTCGGCACCATCCGCCCCGGTCCAGGGGGGCTTGGCGCCGTGTGGGTCAGCTGTCCCGTAGCGTCGGCCAAAGTATTGGCCGACGCCGGCAGGCTGCTCATCGGTTTCGTGAGCGCTAGGATCACAGTCCTGGCGGCGAGACCGATGAGGTGTTACAAATGCCTAGCATCGGGGCACACGCGCGTCAAGTGCCAAAGCTGCTTCGACTGCAGCGGACTATGTTTCCGCTGTGGTCGACCGGGGCATGTGGCGGTGGAATGCTCTGCCGCCCCTCACTGCCCGGTGTGTGTGGCGGGTAACAAGCCCGCCAATCATCAGATGGGGCAGGGGGGCTGCAAGCCTCCCCGCAACTCTCAGCAAGCATCGGGGGCTAGCCAGTCGACCCAGGCTGCCTCCGATGTAGTTCGTGCGTCGACGTCGTCGCCCATGGAGGAGGCTGTAGAGACGATCCAGTAATGGATCGCGTCTCCAGCCTCCTGCTCCAGACGAACCTGAACCACTGTGCCGCGGCGCAGGATCTCTTCCTGCAAACCATGGCACAGTGGTCGATAGGTGTTGCCGTAGTCGCGGAGCCCTATTCTGTCCCTCCCCGTCCAAACTGGATGGGTGACTGGGACGGCTCCGTGGCAGTCGTCGGTTCCACGACGGCTCATTCCCTGCCCTTGTCGCTAAGAGACAAGGGCACTGGATATGTTGCCGTCGAGTGGGGGGGGATCACCATATATGGTGTCTATTTCTCCCCCAACCGGAGTTTGAACGACTTCGAGGTTTTCCTAACCAGCTTGGAGACCTCGATACGGCGACTAGCGTCTGGGCACGTCCTTGTGCTGGGGGACTTCAACGCAAAGTCCATTGCGTGGGGTTCCCCCAGGATGGACGCCAGGGGCGAGGCCGTAGAGGAGTGGGCGGCCTCGGTGGGCCTCTGTCTTCTAAACAGAGGCTCCACCAACACGTGCGTGCGACAGCAGGGGGGGTCGATAGTGGACCTCTCGTTCGCTACCCCTGCCCTCGCCGCACGAGTAAGGAACTGGCGTGTCCTGGAAGAGGTTGAGACGCTCTCGGATCACCTGTATATCCGATTTGAGCTCTCCCGGACCCAGGACTCCAGTAGGGGTCACGTGGCGCGGCGTTTATCCCGCTTTCCGCGGTAGGCTGTTGCCAGGCTGAACCGGGACCTACTAGAGGAGGCAGCCATAATTCACTCGTGGCTGTCTCCTCAGGCTCCGACCGAGGAGGTCGACGTGGGGGCTGGCCGCTTTCGCGATGCGATTACGCATGTATGCGATGCGGCCATGCCCCGCGTTCGAGGTCATCGGCCTCCAAGGAAGGAGGTCTACTGGTGGTTCCAGGAGCTGGCGGACCTCCGTGCGGCCTGTACACGTGCCCGGAGGTCCTACACGCGCAGTCGGCGGCGTCACCGTGGAGACGGTGAGGAGGACCGGCTTCATGAGGAGTACCGACGGGCGCGGAAAACTCTGAAGCTGGCCATTAGCCGCGCCAAAGAAGAAAAAAGACAGGAGATGCTGGAGGGTCTTAATCGTGACCCCTGGGGTCGCCCTTACCGCGCGGTGCGACAAAAGCTCCGCGCGTCGGGCCCCCCCCTTACGGAGACTCTCCAGCCCAGCTTCCTGCGAGAAGTGGTTGAGGGCCTTTTCCCACAACGGACGGAACACACTCCCCCGTCGATGGCCTCCTTGGCCGGAGACGACGGGGAGCACGGGGAGGATAATGTTCCGCCCGTCCGGGAATCGGAGGTAGGGGCGGCTGTTCTACGGATCCGTTCCAAGAACACCGCCCCTGGGCCAGACGGGGTACCGGCCCGAGTGCTGGCCCTGGCCCTCAACCACATGGCAGACCGCCTCGGGGAGGTGTTCGACGCTAGCTTGGCGTCGGGACGCTTCCCTGAGTGCTGGAAGAGCGGGAAGCTGGTCCTATTGAGGAAGCCGGGACGGCCTGCCGATTCGGTCGCGGCCTATAGGCCCATCGTGCTGCTGGACGAGGCGGGCAAATTGCTTGAGAGGGTTCTTTCTGCCCGCATCGTCCGGCACCTCTGCGAGGTGGGCCCCGATCTGTCGGACGCCCAATTTGGTTTTCGGGCGGGGCGTTCGACGGTCGACGCCGTGTTGCGCCTGAGGGCCGTGACCGAAGAGGCCGTGAGCTGTGGCGGCGTGCTGTTGGCGGTGTCACTGGACATCGCCAACGCATTCAATAGTCTGCCATTCAGCTGCATCAGGGAAGCACTCCACTATCATGGGGTGCCAAAGTACCTGAGGCGGCTGGTGGCAGACTATTTAGAGGAGCGTACCGTCGTGTACGAGGACCGAGAAGGTAATTTGAGGTGTCGGCCCATGTCGTGCGGTGTTCCACAGGGGTCTGTTCTTGGACCCCTCTTGTGGAACATAGGGTACGACTGGGCCCTTCGCGCCGATTTCCCCCCCGGGCTGGGTGTAATCTGTTACGCAGACGATACCCTCGTGACAGCCCGGGGGGCAAACTTCCAAGAGGCGGCGCGCCTGGCCACAGGGGGAGTCTCCCTGGTGGTCGGGCGCATTGAGGCGCTGGGCTTACGGGTGGCCCTAGATAAGACGGAGGCCCTGTTATTTCATGGGCCCCGTCGTGGTCCACCCCCTGGCGCCTCAATCGTGGTCAACTCGGTCCTCGTACCGGTTCGGGCCCAGATGAAATATCTGGGCCTGATCCTCGACGGGAGGTGGCTCTGCGACGAGCACTTCCGACAGCTTGCTCCAAAGCTGGTCGGCGCTGCGTCCGCCCTAGGGCGACTTCTGCCCAATATGGGTGGACCCAGCGTCGCGACAAGACGGCTGTACACGGGGGTTGTCCGGTCAATGGCACTGTACGGTGCACCGGTGTGGGCGGCGGCTCTGACCGCCCAGAATAGGGTACGCCTCTGGCGCCCTCAGAGGGTAATGGCGGTCAGAGCCATACGCGGTTACCGCACCGTTTCGACGGAGGTGGCGTGCGCGTTGGCCGGAACTCCCCCGTGGGATTTGGAGGCGGAAGTGCTCGCCGAAGTTTATCGGCGAGTGGCTGACTACCGGGCGGAGAGCGGATTTCGCCCTCCGCCCGAGGATGTGCGCGAGTGGCGCGAAGCCGCTCGCCGAGCCACGATGGCTCGTTGGTCGTTCCGGCTGGAGACTCCACGCGCTGGCTTCGCCGCCGTGGAGGCTCTCCAGCCGGTCATCGCCGAGTGGGCGGGGCGGCAGCACGGGACCCTTTCCTTCCGGCTGACGCAGGTGCTTTCCGGGCATGGTTGCTTCGGAAAGTACCTGCACACGGTCGCTAGGAGGGAACTGAGTCCCGCCTGCCACCACTGCGACTGCAGTGAGGACTCGGCCCAGCACACGCTGGCGGTCTGCCCCGCATGGGCGGCGCAGCGCCAGGCCCTCACTGCAGTCATCGGAGTGGATCTCTCGCTACCGGCCGTAGTACGCTCCATGGCCGGTAGCGACAGTTGTTTTACCGCGGTCGCAACCTTCTGCGAGGTAGTAATCTCGCGGAAGGAGGCGGCGGAGAGGGCCCGGGAGGACGACCTCCACTCGGACCCGATCCGCCGCCGGCGAACCGGGCGGCGGAGGCCCGCCTACCACAGCCTCATGCCGCCCTGAGTGTGGCCGCGGGTGGACGGGGTGGGTTTCCCCTCCACCCGCATTAGTTGGCCAGCCGCGAGGGGGCGGCGTCCGCGTGTGCCGGACGTCGCCTAAAGAGAGGAACATCTACATTGAGACGGAGCCCGCACCAGGAGCGGGCTGGCGCTAGGAGGGGTCCGGATGTCTTAACAACAGCTGTTCCCGGATCCCTCCTGTTACAGGCGCAGAGTGGCACACCGTGTGGTTTTAGTCGGTCCGAGTCCGACACACCACCCCGCCGCAAACCCCGGAGGGGTGACGGTCCGAGGGGATTTCCACACGTTAAAAAAAAAAAAAAAAAAAGGCTTTGTTTCAAGTTTGCCTTGTCTTTGCAGTGCTGTTGTCTTGTGTATTTTTTTTTCTAGTACTGTATATACTTATAATAACTTAGAACTATTACACTCATCTATCATAATTAGAATCATACACTTTGATTCTAAAGGATTACTATTCAGGTAACTCACATTGATCAACTTCGAAGAGCTCTAATTCAATTAGGATTTAAGCTTTATACAAAGAGGATAGTTCATTACACTGAAGGTCTCACAGATTATCCTTCTAATTGGGATATCTTGGAACTACTTAATATCGTTAGAGAATAGACATTAATGATTTCATAAAGAGAGTTTTATGAAAAGGCACATTTAGTTAGAATTTTACCTAAAAAGTAAGCTTTGAAGGCACCTCGAAAAATACGCATAAAGTAAGGTTGCCCGATGTTGTCAAAATTTAAAAAATTGAATAGATAATAAGTTCATCCATTATAAAGTGTTGGTGATCTATCAGGCTTAGTAAACCCAAAATACCAGAAATTATCTAACACACCCAAAGCAAAAAAGGGAAGGTTTCAACTTGATGGTATTTTCTTCTGTCTGTTACCCAAGAACTCCCGTGATTTATTTATAAATAGATTTGGATCTTTTTATTTGGGAAGGTAAAATTTCTGTTACATCCCAATAAAATTCGAGAAAAAGAAAAAAGAAAGAAGTAAGAAATATTTTTTAAAGATAATTATTTATTTGCACAGATATGTTTTGACAGATGTCGGACCACAAAGTGTAGGTATTTATTTTATTTCTACGCAAAAGCGAGAAATCATGTTTCCATCTATTACTTATCGGGGTTACGAAACGTCCCAACGGAGGCCTGTAGCAGATGTGCCAGATTATATAAACTATGTTAGGCAGACAGAAATCAGCAATGTGTTATCTTTGATTTAAAATAGGACTAGATACTGTCACAGCGCTACGTAGAAAGACCATTAAAGAATTTTCAATTAACAGCGATCAATGTAACTTTAAATAGTCCAGTCCAAATTAATTTAGGTAAAGCATTAACTTGACACAAACCCTTTTTTTTTTTTTTTTTTTTTTTTTAACGTGTGGAAATATCCCCTCGGACCGTCACCCCTCCGGGGTTTGCGGCGGGGTGGTGTGTCGGACTCGGACCGACTAAAACCACACGGTGTGCCACTCTGCGCCTGTAACAGGAGGGATCCGGGAACAGCTGTTATTAAGACATCCGGACCCCTCCTAGCGCCGGCCCGCTCCTGTTGCGGGCCCCATCTTAAAATTATCCTCTCTTTAGGCGACGTCCGGCACACGCGGACGCCGCCCCCTCGCGGCTTGCCAAACTAATGCGGGTGGAGGGGAAACCCACCCCGTCCACCCGCGGCCACACTCAGGGCGGCATGAGGCGGTGATAGGCGCGCCTCCGCCGCCCGGTTCGCCGGCGGCGGATCGGGTCCGAGTGGAGGTCGTCCTCCCGGGCCCTCTCCGCCGCCTCCTTCTGCGAGATTACTTCCTCGCAGAAGGTTGCGACCGCGGTAAAACAACTGTCGCTACCGGCCATGGAGCTGATGGAAAGCATTAACGAGATGCATTCTAAAAGAAAAAATAGGTGATGGTAGCTCGTGTAAGCTGCATATTTTATGAGTCGAATTTATACGTACAATTGTATTGTCTTTTATTTTTGTACTTAATATTTGAGTTATTTTGTCATTAGGTAAATAAAGGCACGGCATAATAAAATATGTATATAATATAGGTAACTATCACAATAGTATAGAAATTTTGTCAGTTGAACTATAAAAGACCCCGGAAATGCTTCCGACTTGACTCGAAATTCAATTGTTTTCTCCTACGCTACTCATAGAAAACCAACACTTTTCATCATCATCATCATAATCATCATAATGATGATGGGAGAGGCCTATGTACAGTAGTGGACTGCGATAGAAAACCAACACTTTTATTATAATCTATTAATAAGCTAAATTAAATAGTATTTTTCTCAACTTACGTGTAAAGAAACAACGCTTTAATGATATGCCACTTGAGGTCGCTGTCAACAGACCAGGTCGACGTGCACTGCATAAAATATTGCACGTTGAAACGCAACTGCACCTTCCTCTGCACCTGCAGCACCACGAACTCGGGGACATCTGTTGAAGGGTACTTCAATTAGGAATATAAACAGCACTTTGTGATATTATTGGAATAACCTGAGGATGTAGCTAATAATTACGCCATCGAAATAGCCGAAAGAATCCTAAAAGCTTGAAACGTAAAAACTCTGCACAAGATTTCAAGTAATGGCTGAGCATGCAGTGAACGAGGCGGGATGGCAACGCGTGGCGTCGTGACCCACTTATGTAATATTTTAGATCATATATACCATTTTTTTTGGGCGTGTTGAAGCTGTTTCAAACCGTCACACCACCAGGGCTTGTACAACAGGCCGGTGTGTTAGAATTAAATTTATTAAAAACCACACAGTGTACTTGTGGAAACCTCCTCGGGCCGTCACCTCATCAGGGTTTGCGGCGGAGTGGTGATGTGCTATTATCAACCATCTACGGCCCAGTTTATAAAGTTAACTACAAATTTGGTACAAAAAATTGTAAAACAAAATATCAACGACACACGACGAAAAAGAGGATATAAGTTATAAAAACAATATTCTAAGCAAAATTTAGGAAATTTTATAAAAAATCTTAATGTCCAATATCTTGAAACTTGTTAGGTTTGGGATATGATATTTCATAGTGAAATCTATTAGTAATAATGGCCACTAAAACCCCCCTTTTCGACCTGTGCGGCAATCCCCTCGGATACCACCCACCGGTGGGGTGGTTATATCAGACTCGAACCGACTAAAAACTTCACGCCGTCTCTGGCAACAGTTAAGTATATAGGTGGACATAACCAGTGCCCTGACTGACTCATTTATCAACGCAGAGCCTTAACCCTAGGCTAAAAACTTGAAATTTTGGCAGCTGATGCTTTTGTTATGTGTAACTTATGTCATAAGAATGAATCAAGAATCATTCTTATGTCTAAGAAAGATTTATTGGAAATTTTACCCCTAAGGGGGTAAAAAAGAGGATGAATGGTTGTATGGAAGTTCTTTATTTTCAAAGTTGGAAACACGAAATAAGAAGAATGAAGCTAGCGAAGCCGTGGGCAATAGTAATCTATATTATGATACATCAACGATAAATGCGATACTCAAAGGTTTGAAGAATAAATATTTGAGTTCCAATGCACGCTTCAGTAATAATTTGAATAGTACGTTGTTTATATTTGCGTAATTTTTTTTTTATGTTAGAGGGGGTAGACGAGCAGATAGGTCACCTGATGGAAAGTGACCATCGTCGCAAATGAACGTCCTTTTAGGTAGGAGTACGCTCTTTTCTTAAAGGTTTGAAGGTCGTAGTACTCATAAGATGATCATTTTTTTACAGCAACTGAATACACGTCTGATACTACACTGAACTATAACATGAATGGGACCCACAAAACAATAAAAACTGTTTTAAGGTGCATGTTATAGTTAAAATCCTTGTTCAAGATGCATGCTAGCTCATCAATAACTGTAGCGAAACTCCAAATTTTAATAACTCTTTGGACATTATATTGATGTTTGAACAACTACACCTCTTATCGATAGATGGCGTTGTTTCTATTTCCTAATTATTTCTAGGAGCTTCACCTAAGGCGATTACTAGACTTAGTTCTACTAATATGAACTAAATCGATGATATTATGTAAGAAAAAGGAAATATATTTGCTTGTCAAAGGAAGGGGCGACCCAGAATTGATAGTCAGGCCCTTCCGGGGGACCCTTTCTACCGGCAATAGGTTTTGAAATCAAAGTTCATGTGATGCTATAGATGGTTGAATTATAACTTCTTCTTGCTTGCTTTTTTAGAAAGATTGATTCCATACAAAAATATACTCTTTAAGATAATTCAACATTTTATGGTCTGGTATCATTTTTTTATGTAAAGAGCAAATAAGTAAATGGCAGGTCCATTTACTTATTTGCTCTCGTCATACATACGAGTCGTTGTGCATATATAAGACAACCAGAGTCAGCTGTGCTTAATAATAATAATATTACGGGCCTGTTGGTCCAGTGGTTAGTGCCCCTGACTGCTAAGCCGGAGGTCGTGGGTTCGATTCCCACCCAGGACAAATATTGTGTGATGGACATGATCATTTGTTCTCTGTCTGGGTGTAATTTATCTATAATATGTATTTATTTAAAAATATATAAGCATGTTTATCAGCAGTCTGGTCACCATAGCACAGGCTCTGCCTAGTTTGGGATCAGACAGCCGTGTGTGAAATGTGTGAGGTATATTATTATTATTATTTGTCGGACATCTAAAACATAACGCCATCTAGTTTCAAACTAAGCAGAGCTTGTACTATGAAAGCTAGATTGACTGATAGATAGAGATAACAGATTAAAGTTTTAAAGACCAACGCATCCGACACTACCATACCACGATTTATTGATATTGTCTTCCAGTGATCATGTTAATATCTTCGAAGTATGGTACGTAACAACGCTTTTAATAGATGTCTCAGGTGGGAAATAAAATGGTATGACAAAAAGGGATATAAAACGTTACAATGTCTGAATCAATTTATTTAATGATAAAGTATATTCCTGTGGGAATATTTAATTATTTTATTTTATGTTAGAGGGGGCTGACGAGCAGACGGGTCACCTGATGGAAAGTGACCATCGCCGCCCATGAACGTCTGCAACTCAGGAGTCACAAACGCGTTGCCGGCCTTGAATACCTACACAAAGTTGGTGTTGTGATCGAATTAGAATAAATATTACACCCAAAATTTTTTATATTTAATAATAATAAAACATATCAAGCAAAGTCCAGTTTCGGGGTCACTTAGAGGTTAACGTCAAATTATTTATTTTATAACTTTGTGACCAAGTACATGCATCGGCGGACTTAATGCCTAAGGCATTATCTGCCAGTCGACCGATTGGGCGGTGCTGAGAAAGAATGAGGTAGGTGCATTTATGGGGGGGTAATAAATGAAAGAGGTTTTCTTAAATTCCAACTATCTTAGAATTTGGTGTATACATCTGAATACCACACGCATACATATATCAACGTACATACACATAAATATTATAAAAAATAAAAAAAATAGCCTCGAAGAAGCTCGGTGTGCTGAACCAATGTGTGTGCAAAACCAAAGAAACCAACAGAAGGCTAATTCTCGAAACAAAATAAAAGCCCCCGCTAGCCTTTACACCGCCTTTACACTAAAAACAAATTTTAAAAATCTCACGTGAGATTGGAGGATGGGGAGGGGGTTGAATTAAATCTCACAACATCTCACCAGGGGGGAGAGGGGTCAGAAAATCCCCGAAAACCCTACACGTAATTAATGGACGTCCTTTTTTTTTTTTTTTTTTTTTTAACGTGTGGAAATCCCCTCGGACCGTCACCCCACCGGGGTTTGCGGCGGGGTGGTGTGTCGGACTCGAACCGACTAAAACCACACGGTGTGCCCTCTTTGCGCTTCCAGTTTAGGAGGGGTCCAGGTAGTTATCGCCTTCTGGACCCCTCCCAGCGCCGGCCCGCTCCTGGTGCGGGCTCCGTCTTCAATTATCCTCTCTTTAGGCGACGTCCGGCACACGCGGACGCCGCCCCCTCGCGGCTGGCCAACTAATGCGGGTGGAGGGGAAACCCACCCCGTCCACCCGCGGCCACACTCAGGGCGGCATGAGGCGCAGGTAAGCGCGCCTCCGCCGCCCGGTTCGCCGGCGGCGGATCAGGTCCGAGTGGAGGTCGTCCTCCCGGGCCTTCTCCGCCGCCTCCTTCTGCGAGATTACCTCCTCGCAGAAGGTTGCGACCGCGGTAAAACAACTGTCGCTACCGGCCATGGAGCGAATTACGGCCGGTAGCGAGAGATCTGCTCCGATGACTGCAGTGAGGGCCCGGCGCTGCGTCGCCCATGCGGGGCAGACCGCCAGCGTGTGCTGGGCCGAGTCCTCACTGCAGTCGCAGTGGTGGCAGGCGGGACTCAGTTCCCTCCTAGCGACCGAGTGCAGGTACTTTCCGAAGCAACCGTGCCCAGAAAGCACCTGCGTCAGCCGGAAGGAAAGGGCCCCGTGCTGCCGCCCTGCCCACTCGGCTATGACCGGCTGGAGGTAGTCTGCCACCAGCCGCCTCAGGTACTCCGGCACTCCGTGGTAGCGGAGCGCTTCCCTGATGCAGCTGAATGGCAGACTATTGAAGGCGTTGGCGATGTCCAAGGACACCGCCAACACCACTCCGCCGCAGCTCACGGCCTCCTCGGTCACGGCCCTAAGGCGCATTACGGCATCGATCGTCGAACGCCCCGCTCGGAAACCGAATTGGGCGTCCGACAGATCGGGGCCAACCTCGCAAAGGTGCCGGACGATGCGGGCAGAAAGCACCCTCTCAAAAAGTTTACCCGCCTCGTCCAGCAACACGATAGGCCTATAGGCCGCGACCGATTCGGCAGGCCGTCCCGGCTTCTGCAGCAGGACCAGCTTCCCGCATTTCCAGCGCTCAGGGAAGCGTCCGGACGCCAGGCTAGCGTCCAACACCCCCCTGAGGTGGTCCGACATGTAGTCGAGGGCTCGGGCCATCACTCGGGCTGGAACCCCGTCCGGCCCGGGGGCAGTGTTCTTGGATCTAATCCGTAGAACAGCCGCCCCCAACTCCGATTCCCTGACGGGCGGAACATCAGCCTCGCTGCCCCCGTCGTCTCCGGCTGATGCAGCCATCGACGGGGGTGTGTGCTCCGCCCGCTGCGGGAATAGGCCCTCGACCACTTCCTGCAGGAAGCTGGGCTGGAGAGTCTCCGTAAGGGGGGGGCCCGACGTGCGGAGCTTTTGACGCACCGCACGATAAGGGCGACCCCAGGGGTCACGCTCGAGACTCTCCAGCATCTCCTCTCTACTGACATCCTTGGCGCGGCAGATGGCCAGCCTCAGAGTTTTCCGAGCTTCTCGGTACTCCTCATGAAACCGGTCCACCTCCTCACCGACCCCGCGGTGACGTCGCCGACTACGGGTGAGGGACCTCCGGGCACGTACACAGGCCGCACGGAGGTCCGCCAACTCCTGGGACCACCAGTAGACCTCCTTCCTTGGAGGCCGACAACCACGAACGCGGGGCATGGCCGCATCGCAAATCTGCGTAATCGCATCGCAGAAGCGACCAGCCCCCATGTCGACCTCCTCGGTCGGGGCCTGCGGAGACAGCCAAGAGTGAATAATGGCCGCCTCCTCTAGTAGGTCCCTGTCGAGCTTGGCGATAGCCCACCGCGGAAAGCGGGAAGGGCGCCGCGCCGCGTGACCCCTACTGGGGTCCTGGGACCGGGAGAGCTCGAATCGGATGTACAAATGATCCGAGAGCGTCTCGACCTCTTCCAGGACACACCAGTTCCTTACTCGTGCGGCGACTGCAGGGGTAGCGAACGAAAGGTCCACTATCGACCCCCCCTGCTGTCGCACGCACGTGTTGGTGGAGCCTCTGTTCAGCAAACAGAGGCCCACCGACGCCGCCCACTCCTCAACGGCTTCGCCCCTGGCGTCCGTCGCAGGGGAACCCCACGCAATGGACTTTGCGTTGAAGTCCCCCAGCACGAGGACGTGCCCAGACACTAGTCGCCGCATCGAGGCCTCCAAGTTGTTAAGGAAGACCTCGAAGTCGTTCAAACTCCGGTTGGGGGAGAAATATACACCATAAATGGTGATTCCCCCCCAATCGGCGGCAACATATCCAGTACCCTTGTCTCTTAGCGACAAGGGCGGGGAATGAGCCGCCGTGGAGCCGACGACTGCCACGGAGCCGTCCCGGTCACCCATCCAGTTTGGACGGGGAGGGACAAAATAGGGCTCCGCGACTACGGCAACACCTATAGACCACTGTGCCATGGTTTGCAGGAAGAGATCCTGCGCCGCAGCACAGTGGTTCAGATTCGTCTGGACCAGGAGGTTGGAGACTTGATCCATTACTGGATCGTCTCTACAACCTCCTCCATGGGCGTCGGCGTCGACGCAAGATTGACGTCGGAGGTAGCCTGGGTCGGCAGGCTAGCCCCCGGCGTTTGCCGAGAAGCGCGGGGAGGCTTGCAGCCCCCCTGCCCCATCTGGTGATTGGCAGGCTTTTTAGCCGCCGCACACACGGGGCAGTGAGGGGCGGCAGAGCACTCTGCCGCCTTGTGCCCGGGTTGACCGCAGCGGAAGCATAGACCGCTGCAGTCAAAACAGCTCTCGCACCTGGTGCGAGTGTGTCCCGCGGCTAGGCACTTGAAGCACCTCATCGGCCTCGAGGCCAGAACCGTGATTCTGGCATTAACGAAGCCGACGAGCATGCTTCCGGCGTCGCCGGATTATTGGACGTCCTAACCTAACCAATTCTACTAATTTTTCTCCTCAGATAAAGTTTAGTAAGTGATCACAAGCAAAGGCATAACTTGATCAGAGATTGAGTGTATTTCATTTGTTATACTTAAAGCGATCTACATTTGTGGGATGCAGGATTAAAAAAAATCAACGATTAAAATTTTATTTTGGATGTGCTCCGTGTTTTAATTGAAGAATGAAAAAACGGATGTAAACGTTAATTATTATACTTGTTATTTATGTATTAATACGAGTATGTGCAGTGTTTCATCTCAAAATTCCCTAGCGTCTCCTATACGCAAGGTTGTTTATTAATCTTGCTGTTTATCCGGTAGCTAGCGGTATCGCCTTAATTAAAATTTTAAAAGATTTCTGTCTTTTGGTTTCGGATTTCGGTCTGGGTGTTCTTATGTAAAATAAGTATGTATTAACACAAAACAAAGTATATATGTATTTATATCAGTTGTCTAGTACCAATAGTACAAACTCTGCTTAATGTGGGACTAGATGACGTTGTGTGAATGTTGTCGAATATTATTATTTTTCGTTCGTATGAATTTAAAATAAATAATATTATAATTCCATTACAATTGTATTGTCTGGTTTGGCTATAATTTCCGCAGAGATGTTTTTGTTTATTAAATGACGTACGAGTATAAATATTTTTTTCTTATTTAATCAGCTATGTTAAGCTAACACGCCGATCAGTAACATAATTAACACATATACAGGATGTTTCAGAAAGCTATGGTTATAGGACTGGTGTAATAGGTTTAATAGACTCGTAAATCATGTAACGCTCATAAATTATAGTCTTGTTAAAACAAACCTTTTTAATTAAAAGTCGTCAAATAAAAAAAAATAAGTTAAAACTTAATGAATAAGGGTAATAATATACAATATACTTACTGAAAAGTAAAGACAAGAGCCATATTATGAGAATGGCGGTCTTGGCGCGGCTCGTGGTGGATTTGAACTTCAGTGGAAAGCAGATTGCGTACCAGCGGTCCACCGATATGAACGTGAGAGTTAGCACCGACACCGTTACCGACACCGACTGGAACAAAACACACATTTTAAATTCTTATTTCACTAATATACACAACCTTTTATTAGTTTATTAATTACTAGCATTTGCCGCCTGCGTGTGTATGTCGGTTATTGGGGTAAAAATTAACCAGTTGCTCGCTTATAATGTAGCTTTCCATTGGTGAAAGAATTTTTAAAATCGGTTTAGTGGTTTAGGCGTAAAAGCGTTACAAACAAACATATTAAATCATTTTCACATTTAGGATATAAGAATGGATTTTGTGGAACGCCATATTAATACTTAAATGCTACTTTTCAAATTACTGGTAGGTTTACTACTGGGTGAATGGTATTAACTACGAAATAAAATATTAAAAAGACATAAACAGATAAGTTCATATACAGTTACTATTCTTGGTTACCTACTGCCTTATTTTTGTACACGTTTTAATCTAATTCAAAACACAAATAGTTTATTTATTTAATTAAGGTTCAACAAACAGTTGTTACAGATATAATACAGGTAGGAACATTCAAGTATTTGTGTCTTAAATGTAACTAAACAACCAATTATAGATAAACACCAGATGCGACGTGTTCTTTGTATCAACATATTATGTAGTGGTCGTACAAGTTTGAACTTTATTACGGTTCTTTTGTTAAAGACTATTCATCTATTCTTAATCCGTGTGGTGACGGAATAAGTATACAGAGTGTCACCACCCCTATTCATCCCCTGGGTGTCGTAAAAGCCAACTAAGGGAGAAAACTACGCAGAATAGCAGCACTGCAGAGAGAATGAAAACTTGACCCAAACCCTATATCAACCTGTCTGGCCAGCGTGGTATAGACCAAAACCTCCTTTCTAAAGAGAGGCTTAGGTCTAGCAGTAGACTATTAAAGGCTGTTGTTGATTCATCTACAATCAAAGGTTTCATCATGGCTATAATGAATTTCTAATGCATTAAAAAAAAATGTTTTATGCACCTTTTGTCCATAAAAATCTTTAAACGTGTAAAATTTCACGTTCTTCCGCAATTTTCTTAAAAAGGGTACACAGTTTTTGCTTCACGTATTATTACATAGATTTGTAGTGTTTGTAAATACAGTGCATTAAAAGTAATTAACCGACAACTTTTTTTATTGTATGAAATATATAAGTATATTTATCAGCAGTCTGGTTACAGTAGTACAGGGTTTGTCTAGTTTAAAGTTAGAAGGCCGTGCGTGGAATTTGTAAGGTCATTATTATAATATTATTGAAAATTAATGGCAAGCGATTATCGTTAGGTATATAAAGTCCGTGGAACCACTTGTGCCTGAAGATATTGTCTCCCATACAGCTCTAATGACCTCCATTAGAAAAGAGCAGTGCTTGGATGTACTTGGATCTAGTTAACTGGAGGCAATTCGAGCAGAAATATAGCGTAACTAGCTGCTTGAAGTAGAGAATCAATTATAATAATATGTTAAAATCTAAATCTTAATTTCACAAAAAAATATCGTTTGGGCTAGAATGGGACATAAGAAATGAATCAGATTACTATAATAAACTAGTAAAATTCTTCTAAGAAAAATGTAATTTAACCTGTTATAAGATATAAATAGCTTTTAGCATTCCTCAATAAATGAGATACACTTAAATATTTTACATTTAAAGTAGTTCCTAAGATGGCAGACAGTGACGTCGCAAGGAGTACTCCCTAAACCTACACCTGGGTTGCAATTCCCGGGCGAATCTATGGAACACTAAATAATAGGTCTTTTATATTCTACATTAACTTAATATGTTTGATTGTTAATATTCTAAACATGATTATATCGGGATGGAACCTACCACTCTCAGAGTAGTAGGAAGCGGTGAAGTGACTGCTTAAACCACTACGCCATCCGTGCAGTCAAGTAACTTACTTTAAATGAATTGATGTAACTGAATAGTTACATTATTCAAAATCTATTTCGTATTTAAACTAATAATATTTCTCCTTTTCATCCCACTGTAGCGATATCGATCAATCTTACCCTGACATCGTAAGCCTGATAGTTTAAATAAAATAGGCTCACATTTAAAATTGATGGCTTAACGTTATACTTATTAATTTGTCACGTAATGGACAATTTGAGCGTCTGAGACGTTGGTGTAATGTTTCGAATAATCGTAACCGTTAAAGCTACGATATTCGTTATTTTAAAGCAAACTTTTAAGATAGATATTACTTTCATGTTTGAGATGAAATGTGTGTTAGTAAGTCTAATAAGTAGGTTCCATGTGGTGACGGATAAAGAAAACAGAGTGTCACCACCCCTATTCATTCCGTGGGAACAAACTACGCAGGACAACAGCACTGCAAAGAGAAGGATAACTTGAAAGAAATCCTGTATCAAGCCGTCTGGCCAGCGCGGTATAGTAGGACAAAACCATCGGTGGCAGACCCAAGCCCTGGTTCGACTGATCCTGCAAAACGGCGTCCCGCCGAAAGCGGGAATTCTACTAAGCATGGGCAAATGCAGCGACGGCAGGCGATGTAAATACCAGCACGCTAAAAAAACTGTATAACTTTGCCTCCAGGTCCCTTAAAAGAGCCATTACTAGGGCGAAATCGGAGCACTTCAGCCGGATCGGTGAGAGACTAGTGAGACTTCCTTCTGGAACTCGTGCATTCTGGTCTCTTGCCAAGGCTGTCCAGGGGAATTTCTGTAGCCAATCCTTTCCACCCCTGCAGATAGGAGATAATTCGTTGGCCTATGATGCCAAGGAGAAAGCTGATCTCCTAGGCAAATTATTTGCATCCAACTCGACTTTGGATGACGGGGGAAACGTACCGCCGACCATACCGTGGTGCCAGAGCTATATGCCGGATATCCGGTCCACACAAAAGTCAGTGCGTAAAGCACTCTTTTCCCTCGACATTCATAAGTCGTGTGGGCCCGATGGAATTTCTCCTATCGTGTTGAAGACGTGTGCTCCGGAGTTGGCACCGGTTTTAACGAGCCTTTTTCGCCTCTCCTACTCCCAAAGCGTCGTCCCGAACTCTGGAAGGTAGCGTTTGTGCACCCGATCCCTAAAAAAGGTGACCGCTCTGACCCGTCCAACTACAGGCCTATAGCCATAACTCCTTTGTTCTCTAAGATTATGGAATCCATAATCAACAATCAATCCCCTGTGCAGGGGATGTCTGGAAGCTGAAGAAACGGCCGTCCACGTAGTCGTGGAATGCGAGGGAGTGGCCACACAACGGGCAAATATCATTCCTGATATAAAGTCGCTCCTAGAAGCCTGTGAACGCCCCAGGAGGCTTCTGCGCTTCTGGAAGGTGCTTGGCTGGCTCACCTAGTCAACCAATCCTCGACGCATAAAGGACCACTCTGAGTCTAAATGCGGAAACCGAGGCCCACAACCAATAGACCAATCCATAATAAACAGCCAGCTCCTCCGGTACTTGGATGATCACCAGCTACTCAAGGACCGAAAATATGGTTTTCGCCGGGGTCGCTCAGCTGGTGATCTTCTCGTCTTTCTGACACACCGGTGGGCACAGGCGATCGAGACCAAACTAGAAAAGAAGAAAGAAGAAAGAAAAGAAAGACCACCAGGGTCACCAGCTTCCTTGCGGACAGAAGCATTAAGGTCGTTGTCGACGGTGCATGCTCCGACTTGAAATTCGTAAATGCTGGTGTCCTACAATGCTGTGTGCTATCACCCACACTGTTTCTTCTGCATATCAATGACATGTTGCTAACCAGTGGCATCCATTGCTATGCAGATGATAGCACAGGAGATGTCCTTTATACCGGCCGCCCCAACATTTCTCGGGAAAACGTCATCGAGAGTCGAAACAAACTTGTGTCTGAAATTGAAACTTTCTTAGCGGAGGTTTCAGATTTGGGCCGACTTAATCTAGTCCAGTTTAACCCAAAAAAGACACAGGTATGTGCGTTCACCGCAAAAAAGATACCCTTTGTCGTATCACCTCAGTTTGAGAGGATTACCTGGATCTTTGGCGCTCCACTACTGTGCGCTTTTCGAGACATTTTTTGTCCCGCACAACCAACCTGTGGCACGGGTTATCGTCTGCGGTATTTCCGGACCGATACGACCTTCAAACCTTCAAGAAAAGAGCGTACTCCTTCCTAAAAGGCCGGCAACGCGTTTGTGACTCCTGAGTTGCGGACATTCTTGGGCGGCGATAGTCACTTTCCATCTGGTGCACCGTCTGCTCGTCTGCCCCCTCTAACATAAAAAAAAAAACACCTTTCTAAGAAGGTACCTATGTTAAGCAGTGAACTAATAAAGGCTGTTGGTGATGATAAAGTCAAAGGAAACACATGAGATTTACGGTCTATTTGTAAAAATATATTCTTTTTCTCTACTATATGCGGGCAAACGAACGGGTCACCTGCCTTTCGTTTCCATCTTGTCCTTTCATATGGAACTCTAACTTTTCCCATCTAATTTCTCAAGTGCTCGATTGACAACAATGTTTTTACCCTCAATTATTTACATATGTATCAGCCACGTATCGTATGGCAGAAAAAATTAGGCGTTTAATACGTCCCTGATTACTTTTCCGGAGATATGGACATGTTTATATAAACTATTTATAAATATAAATGTTTAGTTGTTTCTGTTGTTTTGGCAGCTGTCTTCTACCAAGCCTTGCTGTGGCACATTTTGCCACAGCAAGGCTTAGTGTGTGAGATGTGTGAGATATATATGTAATGGTTTCATAGCCTCTGTGATCATGGCGCTGGCAGCAGTGTCGAAATATCGGCAACTAATACCCGAAAATCGTCATCCTCCGAGCCTTTTCCAAAACTAGGTTGGGGTCGGTTTTCAGTCTACTTCTTCTTGCGAGCGACTGCCATGAGACCCCCACAACCCAAGTACAAGACAATATCGAAGTTCTGTAGAAAAACTGTTGTCGCACTTTTTAGGGTTTCAACTACCCGTAACCCGTTTGTCTGGCAACCGGTACCGACCGTTTAATATGACGTTAAGATTGGTCACCCATCCATATACTGACCTTG